CACCTTTATAATAAAGTTGCTTGTTCAAAAACAGAAACAAAAGTGAAAAAAAAATCGGAAAGCAGATCACCTGTCTAATTCGCAAAATGAGTACTCTGCCATTTCACATTTCATAATTTTCAATCACAAAACGTATAATTCCCAATTTTCCTAATGATAGAAAACAGCAAAATGAAAAAAAAAAGAGTAGCAACCATCATCATGTATCTATTCTATTTAAATCTTTCAAGTTTGAGAAAAGGTCGAGGCTGTTTCATCTCCGACCTCGAGGTTCGCTTAAACCACCAGCACATGCATGCCAGATATTCCCCCCCCCCCCCCCCCCCCCCCCTCCCCCCTCCTTCGGAGGCCGCCCGCAGCCGATGCATTTTATCTACAGCCCTCGACCTCCTCAAATTTTCGGAGAGGCTCAAAACAGCTTCTCCAGTTTCCTGGGGCCATGTACTGTTGGTTTAATAGTAGTTCTTTCTTATTAGGGCCCAATGCCCGAGGGAACATACACAAAGTGAAAACACTTCCAGATTTCCATTGGGACCCGCAGTGCCCAAGGGCTGCAAGGTCTCAACGGACTGTAAGTCCCACTGTATGTTGCCCTGCCTGGGCACTGCGGGCCCAACCCTTCTGTGTGGGGGGAGGGGGGGAACCCCTCCCCTGTAGCCAACAGTGCAACCCCAAAATCTCACAAATTTACAGTTTGAGAATAGTTCCCAACGGTTGTAATGAAAGAAGACAGCAAAAAGAGAAAAGAATAGCAACCATCTATGGCATCTAATTAATTACCAGGGACTGAGCTATTTTATAGGCACGTAGTAACATTTCGTTCCCAATCGTCCCGCATGGAAAAAAGAAAAAAAAAGGAAAAAAAAGAAAAAAAAAAGGAAGAAGATTAATCTCTTTCGGTCCTACTTTCAGAGTCTTTCCTTTTATTATTCACAAGTGCATCCACCGCAGCTAATCCTGTGGCACATAGCACGGGTCTGTGGAAAAGAGCTGGAGTAGGCGTGCCGACATTGTTGGCAGGAGAGTTTATGACAGGATTGTGCAACCCCAATATGAGCACATCTCTCTCTCTCTCTCTCTCTCTCTCTCTCTCTCTCTCTCTCACACACACACACACACACACACACACACACACACACACACACACACACACACACACACATGTGACAGGGGAGTTGATAATGCACAAAAGACTGAAACTTGGTAATCATGCACAAAAGACTGAAACTGTGGCTGAGTATCTCTCCATGTTCTAGCGGAGGAAGATTCATCTTTGTTTGGCGGATTGGGATAGGGGAGCAAGGGAGGCCGGCCTCCCTTGGCTAAGGACTTGTATTCAAACAATCGCAACGACGAACTGTTGGCACTGACGGACAACAGACTGAAACAATGGCAGTGATGGAAGATTCATTTATGATTGGCAAGTTGGGGGAAGTAAGAAGATTCATTTACACGTGGGAAATTGGGGGAGAACTGGAGCGAAGGCGGCTGGCCTGTTATGTACTTGTGTACTTGTATTCCAACAATCAGTACTGGAGCCAAGGCGGCTGGCCTGCTATGTACTTGTGTACTTGTATTCCAACTATCAGCTGGCCTGCTATGTAGTTGCTTCGGCTGGTGTGCAAATTTGTCTTCATTGTGTGGTGGCTATGTCTACTTCGATTGTGCATGTGTGTGACCGGGTACATCAGATCACGGGGAAAAACGAGTACCCGTGTTGGGGTGGGGTTAAATGCTCATCTTGGGGCTTAACTTTCACCCCGGTCCACTTCACCGTTTGGTCGAGTGTTTGCCTCCGGATAGGGAGGTCATGTGTTCGATCCTTGGACAATGCGGACTTATAAAACATGTATTTTCAGATGTACTTGTATTCCAACGATCGGCTGGCCTGCTATGTACTTGTGTACTTGTATTCCAACAATCGGCTGGCCTGCTATGTACTTGTGTACTTGTGTTCCAACAATCGGCTGGCCTGCTATGTACTTGTATTCCAACAATCGCTCCGATCGACTTTCCGTAATTCCGGGCAACTGGACTCAAGCTGTTGGCGATGAGTAACAATCAGACGAGACTCACGCATGGGCTCAAAACAGTCGTGAAACAACATGACATCCACAGGGCCAAACACACCGATCCACAAGTAAGCGCCCGAACGATACGTGACAGATAATGGCCGGGAAACACAAAATTTGCACCCGTGGGACAGCACCACGCCTCCGCGTCGCAATGATTGTTTCCTGGGCCCGGCGGGGGGGGCGGGGGGTGTCACACAAGGAGTGGGTTACCTTTTAGAAGTACTAGAGGATCACAGACAAGTGTGCAACGACACAGACAGTGTCACATGTTATACATGACTACTTTGTACTTTCTCCTTTCTTTTTCCCAAGTTTTTTCTTGTCTTTTTCAAGTTTTGTGGTCCCCCCCCCTCTATCAAGAGCACCAATTGCACCTTGGAAATTCCAGCGTCCGTGCTTAAAAAGGAAATTCAAAAAAAAAAAAAAAAAAAAAAAAAAAAAAAAAAAAACAAAAAAAACGAATATAAAAAGAAAAGAAAACAACAACAACAACAACAACAACAACGACAAAATGAAGATGTTTGACTTCAGCTGAAATGTTGGGCTGAAGCGGCAGATGCTTTTTTTTTTTTTTTTTCCCCCGGGCGAACTTCTATTTATTTATTTATTTTAAGTTATTTATTAAAAGCCGGGTAATCATTGGATTTCAATTTTCAAATGATCACTTGTTTGCAAGATGTTAGTTACCCTTCAGAGATTCGAAAGCTGATCTGAGAATTCTCAGCAAGACTAAAAAAAGATTCACCCCTCCAATCGCAACCAGACCTCAAAGATTCGCTGCAATCTCATCAGGGCATATACTCACACTCGTACATTTCCGGATGTATATGACAGTTTTTCTGCAAGGAAAAAAAAAAAAAAAAAAACAGAAAAAAAAGGCCAGTCAGTGAGTCAACCGGAGTAACCGAGGTAGGAGTGTCAAACTACTGTCGAGTGGCTTCGAGTTTGTCACGATGACGACCAACAATAACAACAACAACGCTCCGTTTGTCAGGAATCTCTTCCTGTGTCGGTCGGTGTTTGTTGTCGAAGTCGTGTCTTCTTTCCATCTGCTTGGTGTGTTTATACGCATACAGTCAGTGAGAAATCTATGAATTCTATTATTATCATTCTAATCATAGCAGACACTGCCAGAATGCTAAACAGCAGCGATTTGGGGGAAAAAAAAAGGACCCGACATGACCCTGAAATAGTTTACTGCGTGGACCTTCTTTTTGGGGGGTGGGGGGTGGGGGGGTAACCCGGGGAGGACCCTACATGATCCTGAAAGCGCCGACAGCACAGGATATCCTTGTCTAATAGCCATGGAATATGGCATAGCTAGCCTTTGCTAATAGCCATGGACTTCATTTCGCCCACCCACGGCTAACAACCATGGACTTCGTTCAGTATAGCCAGCCTTGGCTAATAGCCATGGACTATAGAGTCACCAGGCTTGACTATTAACCATGGACTATTGTATAGCCAGCCTTGAGCAATAGACCATAGAATAGCCAGCCGTGGCTAGTGTCACCAGGCTTGACTATTAACCATGGACTATTGTATAGCCAGCCTTGAGCAATAGACCATGGAATAGCCAGCCTTGGCTAGTGTCACCAGGCTTGACTATTAACCATGGACTATTGTATAGCCAGCCTTGAACAATAGACCATAGAATAGCCAGCCTTGGCTAGGCTGTACCGCAGTAAAGCAAGCCTTGGCTAACATGCATGGACTATAGCATGGCCAACCTATAGCTACAGGCCATGCTCACTCCCAGCAGGGGGTTTACAATAGCTATTAGCTGGACTATAGCATAGCAAGCCTTGGCTAACAGCCATGGACTAGGCCATAGCCAGCCTTGCCCAACAGTCAGATGTCTATGGATGGGGTCCATTGTCACCCACGCATGCAATAACCGGGACCGCTTGAATCTGCAGGTGGGAAGAAAATTGCATCGAAAAAATACAGAGATACAGTGACCCTTGGTTCGAGTCTTTTTTTTTTTGTCAAGCAAATCCTTGTTTTTTCGAAGCATCCTGTTACCTGTACTTCAGCAGATAAAGATTGATATAAACTGGGGGGAAAAGAGCAGAGGATAGAGATTCACATTTAGATTAGCTCATTGCAGCATCGAGTAGTACTGCTTGCTTTGACAGGAAGATGGCTATGGATAGAACATGCAACTCCAGAGTGTACAGGGATAAAAAAACTTTACAGCAACAGCACAGAATGTGGCGGCACATCAGCAGCAGGAGCACTGCTACGCGGCAGGGGGGAAGCAGATGATCGAGACTCAGACGCCTCGGGCCCTCGGGGCGTCTGCATACATTCGGCGCCTCCGACCTATACAGGGGTCTGGGCTGGCCCCCAATTGCTGAGCAACAAAGTCTCACTGCATTGAAAATCTGGCTGGCCCCCATTGCTGAGCAACGAAGTCTCACTAGGCTGGGTGACTACAGTCTTCCCCCAAATACAATGTACAGTCATTATAGCTGAATTTGGGGTATCTTTCAGTCTAAATTCACAGCTATAATGACCGTACGTTGTATTTGAGGGAAGACTGTAGAGCCCGGGCAGATTCGCCGCCTTCTCTCTTTCGTGTTTTTACTTGTTGCCCTTTTGTCATGCTTGCCGGCTGATAAGCAACCAGACTGCTGCTCCCCAGAGTAAATGGGGCTTCCGTGAGTCTTTTTTTTTAAAGAAACACCCCACCCCCACCAGTGTTAGTGGTGCTGATAAGAGCAGACACCCAAAGAAAAGAAAAGGGGAAAAAAAATTACAGCCAGTGTCTGACTGATCTTGTGTTTGACTAATTCACATGAGATGAGAAAGTCAGAGCAAGATTTTTTTTTTTTTTTTTTTTTTTTTGAGTGAGAGCAAGATCACTGCACCAGAATTGGGAATGCCTTTGCCTGGTCGGAATGCGATTCAGGGAATACTACTCGTACTAGCACATTTTTGTTCTACTACGCTCTGTACGTGATTGCGGTAAGATTCATCCAGGCGCGGTCGCCATTGCAGCCCGATGCATCGAGGAAAGTGCTACTGTGACAGTACTGTCTTCGGCTGAATGGAAGGCCTGGCCATTGTCGCTGTCTGTGGACCGAAAATTGCCCCAAATACAGCTATAATGACCAGGCGTTCTATTCAGGTGAAGACGGTGGTGTGACTATGCCCCTCAACTGTGTAAAAGTGGGGAGCGTGTTGACTACAGCCTCATCGGGACAAAATGTTATGGCCCAATTTGACACAACCAGCTTCATTTTGGGATAGATTGGGTTTCCGCAGATCTAGTGTTTTCGGCCATTTCGCAAATCACAGCCTTTGCAGGTCTCTCTCCTCAGAGGCCACCTGTCTTTCTTCGTCAACCTGTTGCAGCTCTCCACTGGACGGCAGCAGGTAAAAGGTCCATAAGGATGACATGTCGCAGGTGTGAATAGGGCCTTCTGTAGTGCTCCGCCGTACCGCTCACAGCAAGATTGTGCTGAAAATTCGGTAGTGGCGAGTCTCCCGTGGGCGCGCTTTGTCGAGATAGTACGACTTCAGACAGCATTTGATCCAGGGAGGGCTTCTGTTGGGGCACATTGACAACTTCCCGACCTCAACGTCGGTCGCACAACCCAGCAGTTGCGAGATTTTATCCTGGAGACGCTGGACGTCGCTCGGTTTCTTCAGGCCTGTTACACAAGAAGATGATGATGGAAGTTGGTACGGTGGCGTCGGACAATAGTAGTTTGAGAAGAAGTAATCACCGTCGTCGCCATACAAGAAAGCATCTAATCGTCCGGTTGCATCCTCGAGCGCAAGCTTAACTTTGCACACGGACCTTTCGTTGTGTCGTACCCTCTTGCCGTCCCTTGACTCAGGGTGCTCCTTCCCTGCACCGGGCCCGCCAAACATCGTCTCTTCTCCGTCTTTCGTCGTCAATTCGTCGGAAACATCCCATCGAACGGCTCCATCCTCAAGTGCAGTCTGTACTTTGCAGACGTACTCCTCATTATCTTGTAGCCTCTTGCCCTCTTTGGGCTGAAGATGATCTTTCACCGCCGCCCCCGCACCAGACTCACCAAGCATTGCCTCTTCTCCATCTTCTGTTGTCTGCACGTCTTCAGCTTCGCCATGCCGCCTCTGGGCGTCCTTGGTACATCGTGAAGATGCTGCGTCGACCATCGAGTCTGCCGCCTTGTTGCCAGCTTCATCTATCGCGATCTCTGTTTTCTCAGCCATTTCAGATGCGTCTGCCTCTACTTCTGTTCCATGCCCACAGACGACTTCTTCGCCACCTTTTGAATTGTCGCTTGCTTGAACGTGAACGTCTGCCTGATGTTGTCGGCTCCTCTCTCCTTTGGCCTGAATCTTCCAACTGTCACCCACATTCACCGTTGCGTGTCCTTCAGCCTCTTTCTCACTTTGTGAAGAAGGTTCTGCTTCAGCGTTTGTGTCCTTGGCGCCGCCAGAAACTTCCGACGGCAACTCGGAAGTCTTGGTGGTGGTCCCCACACCCATGGGACCTTTCATAGTCCCTTGCTTGAGCAGTCCCTTGGTCTCCTCGTCACTTCTCGGTGCCTCCGGCTTCAGACTCCTCGAGTCCTCGATGTTCTTGCCAGCTTCATCTCCCATCTTCACTCCTCTTCCTCCTGACGACCGCTGGCAGAAATCGTGGACCCTCTCGGGAAAGATAGCAAGGACTCGAACGATGCACCTGAACTTGCTTGTCACTTCGCTGGAGGTGAGCACCTCCCGCAGACTACGCACAGGCTGGTTTTCGTAGACGGTCGACGTCAGAAATGTGTAACAAGAGGTGATGGATTTTGGGATGTGGCTGCTCTCCTCTTGAAGTCGTTGTTGATAAGTTCGCTCTAGGCACATGACCAAGACATTGGTTTGTGAAAGGTTACAACACCTTGACCTGGGGTTAGGATCTGTGGCTCTTGGCGGAGCGGAAACTGCCGCTGCGATGGACTGCACATCTTTCGACTCCTTACCTAGTACTGATAGGGACTCGGCGGGGGGAGGAGTTGGGCCAGTGAAAAAGGTAGCGAATGTGACCCCTTGCACACGTCTTCGGCCAAGGTTGCGCAGCTTGACCCATCGGCCTCTGGTGCAAAGGAGGTGGGGCAGCGATGATGCCTCCGTGACGATCGGGAGAAGAGTGCCCAGCTTCGGGAAACTCGCGTAAACATCAAAGGGTGGCAGCGGAAATGGGTAGGACGGCCAACGAGACGAACAGTTGTCATCACCGCGGTCTTGCTCCGCGTCCTCTTGTACCCGGGGGCCTTCGTCCTTCGCTTTATCTTCTGTTCGAAATGCTGCCTTTGCTCCAATCGGCAGTGATGCGCACTCGGTTCCATCCCAGACGTAGAGGAGAGGAGCTCTCTCATTGTCGTGAGCATCGACGTGCAAGACCTTACAAAAGAGGTCGAAGAAGGGCCTGCCCACCTCGATAGTTTCAATCCTTGCTACGTACTCAGTTATACCCAAAGCCTGGACGTTGTCGGCTACCCAATCCCTGAAGAAATGAACCATGGGTATATCTGTCGGTGATCGAGAGTACTTTCCAGATGACGTCTGGTAGGGCTCATCTTTGCCTTTCATCTGACCATCAAAGAGAACATAACTGCCTCCAGCTTTCAGCTGTACTGTAGCCTGAGGCTTTTTGTTAAATACCTTTATCTGCGCGTTGTGAATACGGATGATGTCCCCGATGAACCGCACACGAGGCATCTGCTCCAGCTCCAGCCCAAAGATAACCACGGGCAGCCCCGGCGAGTGGTAGTCGGTGTCGGTGATGGTTATCGAACAACAGTTGTCGGTACCTCGTGTCTCCTTCGGTTGATCGTAGTCAGCCACCACACCATAGAAATGGATCTTCCCTTTCTCTGTGACGGCATCAGTCAGGCGAGTGTACGAGTATGCCTCCTCGCCATGCCATTGTCCTCTTCCCCTTGACGACGGCATTTGCGCATGCATGGTTTCCAATTGACGCGGGGCCTCGACAACTTGGACCCCTAAAACACGTTGCCGATCGTCCAGACTGTTTGGAACTCTACTCCCTAACCTCTTCGAAGCTACATTCCTAAACCTCAATGTTTTTGACATCAACCCTACATTCCTTTCCTTGCCGTTCGTTCCGTTCAAGCTTCTGCACGGTATGTGTCTACCTGCTGACTCTGTGCCTCTCTACCTGCACCTCTGTCTAACTACATCTCTGTCTGTATGCCATGCTAATGAATAGACACAACCGCATTAGTGCTAATGAATAGACACAACCACATTGGTGCTAATGAATAGACGCAACAGCATTCGTGCTAATGAATAGACGCAACCACATTGGTGCTAACGAATAGGCGCAACCACATCGGTGCTAATGAATAGACGCAACCGCATTGTGGTGCCAACTCCATCCTCCACCAAAGTCCCCTTAGCCAGTTCCCACCGACCAGTGAAACTACACCATGCCATTCAGAACCCTCCCTGTCTTCCTTCCTGCGAATTGATCCCTACAGCCTCAACAGTATACTCCAACAGTCAAGGAGGGAATCCTCCTCCCTTCCTTCTCCCAATAAGTCACCACCTCATCCCACTAGGGCCACCACCACAAGGCACTGATATCTGGCATCTCCAGCTGCCCTGACCTCTCAGCACCTGGCCTTCACTTTCGTGTCGGAAAGATGTTGAGAGAAAACCGGTGTCGGTGACGGTTATCTTCCCTTTCTCCGTGGCGGCATCAGTCATTGTTGGGTCCTTTCGCAGTGGAAACTGCATGCGCCTTCACTTTCGCGTCGGAAAGATTTTTAGAGAAAACTGGTGTTGGTGACGGTTATCTTCCCTTTCTCCGCGGCGGCATCAGTCATTGTTGGGTCCTTTCGCAGTGGAAACTGCATGCTGTTCGCTGCATAGTTGTGCAACAAACTGTAGCGCTTCCGGTTCTCTAAACATCTTTTCGACGCATTCTCTCTTCTTCTCCCGTACCGTGACCTGGCACCGAAGCATACGTCCTTTGGCTCCTACGACCTCTCACTTAAGTTCACCCAAGATTCTTCCTTCACGACTACGCTCCTCTGTCTGGCTCGGAGGACGTTGCAACCGCCGGGTTTTCCTACGGGTAAGCTCGGCACAGAGATGAAACTGCGTCCACGTTGACTGTGGTTGGATGCAATATAGGAGTCCTGCCTATGACTTATGACTCGTGTGCTGCTGAAGCGCTGGCCGCCCCCTCACCCCACCACCTCCAGTTAGACGTTAGACGCGTGCAGCAATCGTCGCAGTGGAAGATTGCTCCGTTCAAAATGTCCATGTACCAGTCAACCTGCATGCAGAGTGCAGAGTCGTTTCATTCGTTGCCATGGAATAGTCGTAACTGCATGTGTTTGACGCACTGGCAATGCAGTGCAACCAGTGGAGGCATCGTCAGACACGTACGACATACCATGCCGACGGAATGCCAGATGCAAATTCCATTACCAATAATCAGAAAAGGAGGCACGGAGATCATACAATGCATGATGCTTTAGGCCTTTTGACACATCGATACATAGCATTCCGAGTTTCCGTGGGGTTGGACAAGCATTGGGCCACCACCCTAGCCCATCGAGTGCTCTACCTCTTTATTTTTTTTATTTTTTTTATTTTTTTTATTTCTTTTTAGTGCTCTACCTCTTGTAATGAAGAAGATAGCACATTCTACCTGTTGTGTGTGATGTGTGTCCTCGCATGTCCTTCAAAAAAAAGACAGTACATTTGTGACACAAACGAAGAAAGAAGCAGACACGAAAAAGCAAGGAAAAAAACGGACTGATGCTCCCCAGAATGAACACGGAGCAAGGACGGTAAGGACTCTAAGGACCCTTTTGTGTGAAAAAAAAAACCAAGAAAGAAAAGAAGCAGACAGCAAGCACAAGGCGGCAGGGGAGCAGAAGGCACTAACTGAAACTATTCTTTTCTAGATTTCTGTCCATCACTCTTGAATGCGCAGGGGCCAAAACGCATTGAAATTTGAGGCGTAAGTCTGCAATTTGGCTCAGCAAATGGACGAGAATGTAGTGTTGGACACTCAGACCTGTAGACGGGCATTCAAATTAACACAGACCCTGATGATAAATATTCACGAACTTGCTTTGGGAGGCACCCATACTCGGAAAACATGGTTTTCGCAGTCGGACAGGACAGATCTCAGCCGTCCTCCATCTGATATGTCGGACTCCGATCACTGAGGCGACAACTGGTCCGTGCAAAATAGAATATTCACGGATCTATAATTGCTGCTTAACACTGGGATTGAGTATGATCTACGATGAAGGCATGTTCAGACTCTTCAGAGTTAAGCAGCTGCTGCAACAAGGGTAAGCACAAGCATACGTTCTAAAAGGTTTTCTATGATGATGACACCGGGGGAAGGAAAGGAGAAGGAAAGGAGGAAGGAGGAAGATGGAGGAAGGAGGAAGGAGGAAG